TACTGCCACTCCTAATTAATAGAGATATTGAGTCAGCTAATTTAGAAAAGGATATAAGATGTAGGCTAAATAAATGTTTCAAAAATGAGATTAATGTAGTACCTAGGATTAGTTTAAACTTCCGGTCAGATGACCTTTTACCTGCAACAAAAGGAAAAAGAATTAGTGTGTTCAAATTTTACTTTACAGGAGATTTTATATGATAGAAGAATTTCAGAATCCTTTTCTAAACTTTCGTTTTTGTCAACAACTAACAAAATAAATAGGCAGAAAAAGGAGGGGGAAACTGTTGGAAATATTGTTAGAAATGTGGCATTCAAACCTACAAAATGATGAGATGAAGCTGCCATGAAATGGCAGCAAGGAGGCTGAAAATTGACAGCAAATGAAGCTACCATTTGACAGCAAATATGGCAGCAATTTAGATGCAAATGTGATGGAAAAGAAGCTGTCAAATGACAGCAAAAATGTGCAGCAAACTACGCTGCAAAAGTTGATGAAATGAAGCTACAATAAGCAACAAATGAAATGCAAATGAAATGTGGGGCTGCAAAATTGGTTAGCTATATGAGAGCAAGCCTGCAAAATGAAATGCAAAAGTGCTTGTTTTAGATGCACTTCATTGTTCCATTTTTGATGTAGAAAGGTTATTCAGACAAAACAAGAAAACATGAAGTAGAATACATTTTGAATTGTTTTAAAGGTTGTTTTTTCTGCCATAAAAAGCAGAGATTGTTAATGAGAAAATCTGAGTTGGAGTGTTATACTCCTCTCCATTTTCGGTTTTGCTCTTCATCTTCTTCCTGATTTTCTCTCCATTTCTTTGTGAAAAAAATCAACAGAAACAACATTCAGCCTGAAATCTGCCTAACTAACCCCCCGTCATTGAGTTTGAACTTTGGTTCTCATAGAGCTAATAAAGCTTCAAAGAATAATCAGCACATGAAACAGAATGGAATCTTTGAAGAATCAATGTATGGAACAAAATGGGAAGAACTGAAATGACTCAACAACCATTGGAGATGTAATGCATTTGGAAAGAACTCAAATTGAGTCAGAAGGCACAATAAAAGAAATTAGCAATTAAATAGCTGTTGGAGATTTTGTTCCTTTGGAAATTAATGTCCTTCCTTATTCTTTGTATATTTGTAATTACTTCCATACTGAAATAAAGCCATGATGAAGTCTGTAAATATATTATAATTAAATAACAGAAAATCTCTGATTAATGAAAATTAACAAATCTAATATGCAGACGATGAAAGAAATTCAGCATAAAAAACAGAAAGATTGTGTGTTTTCTTCTCTAAGAGTACCTTCAAATAAAGGTACTTACCTGACTTATTGGCTGCTGCTGGTGGCAGTGCTGGAAGGGAAATGGTAGCAGGCATGTTAGCAGGAGGGGGAGGGCACTCTGCAAGTGAAGTACTTGATCCCAGACAGTAGCAAACCGTTTGATTGTCAAAGCCAATGCCACACTTTCCTTTGGAATCTAGGCACTTCTGACACGCTTTGTCATCCACCTTTAACTCAACTTCAAATCCATCTTTTAAGGCTTGTTTGATCCCCTCTCCTGTGGAGAAAGATTTAGGAACCAGCACAGTGGCACTAGCAGAACAATTCATAGTACCAGTATCTCCCAGTGTGATGAGTCCATTGCTAGAATTGAAAACATTATGGCAGCTGAAGTTTGCAAGGACAAATGGAAATGGAGATGGTATGAAACTTGGGCAGTCATAGAGTAATGTAAGAGGTCTATAATCCGGAGAACTGACTAGGAGAGTACTATCCAGGGTTGTGTTCTGGATATTCTGAGGACAGAGTCCACCCTTATAGTCCTCCCTTGCAATCCTCATTTTTTTGTGGTTGTAGGGCAGATCAATGTCCAGAACTCGATATCGAACCCCATCAATTTTTATAAAAGCAGTATCATTCTCACACTGGAGTTCAAGCCCTGGATGGCCACACTCACGCGGTCTTTGCTTCCCTCCCCAGAATGGAAAATCTACAACCATTTTCCCACACCTGAACTGATTACTACAGCCTCTGTAGAACAAATCAGGAGTGCTTGATGACAAGGGATACTCAGATATAACCAAGAGTAAAACCAAAAGGAGGAAGTTGTTCATATTCTTGAAGAGATGGGGAGGAGGAACTAGAGGGATTAATGGGTAAATTTGGAGTGCCGTAATGAATTAAGTCTAATTCAAAGAAATTGATAAGAAAAGAATGCTATGCATTTTGGTTGACTTAGAACTTAAAAAGTCTTTTTTCATTTGCAAAGAAGTCTTCTAACGTGTGGACCAGAAAGGTTACGTGTTTTAATTGGCAATTTGTAGAACAACTCTGCATCAACCGAAGCTGCAGGAACTCTTACGAAGAAATTGAAATCTGGGTAACAGTGATAGCCAACCATCTACACACGTACATTCAGATTAGGGGATTCATAAATGACCTCTTAGGAGAAATTGAATCCCAATTAATAAAATGAGTGGCAAACCCTTGCCAACCAAATTGCCATCCTGTTGTTATTCATTTAATCAAAATTTAAACGGACTTATTTTGATTGTTCAAAATTTACACCGCATATAATAAAAAATACTATAGATGAATAGTTTGGCATTTGCCAAACCAAACAAGATTTCAACAATTTGAAGGTGTGGTGTAGGAGTTTTAAGGTGATCTTACACGGGAAGACAGTATATGTTTTGGTGGGACAGGCAAAGCATCAAGGCTTCGAATTCCATGCAACATCTCCAGCACCAAGGTGCTTACACCATGTCGAAGACTTTACAACAAGTAAACTAAAGCTTAGAATAACCAAAATACTAAACAAATTACAATTAAATCAAACCTATATAAGGACAGCAGCAGTGCTTCATTCATCTGACCTTTCATATTGCTGCAACCTTCTTCAACCATAAAATGGATTCCTGTAGCTTTGTTGTTGTGGCTTCCTTCAACAGAAATTCACTGTACCTCGCTGAATATATAACCTTAATGTTCGGAAATCAGTAAGAAACAAGTAGTGATACTTTCTCAAAGGTGCTCGGAAACCACCTGCAATATGTGAGGAACTCGGTAAGGAAAATGACAACAATTCTTCATCCAAAAACATTATGATGCATAGGGCTAAATCGCATAGATAGTTGCAGATAGCTGCAAATAGTTGTGGAGTATGGTCTCTAACCTGCATTATGACTGATGATGTGGTGGAGGAGTTTTGAGGTGACCTTACTGCTGCAGGCCTTGGAGAAGACAACAAGGCTTCTGGTGGAAGTGGCAAAGCTTCAAGGCTTCCTTGTAACATCTCAAGCACCTTACTCATTGATGGTCTGTTTGATGGAATTGTTTGGATGCACCAAAGGCTCACTATTACCATCTTCCTTGTCATTTCTTCTTCTTCTTCATCATTATTGACGACTCTGTCAAGATTTAGTTTTTCTGCTTTCTCAATTTGCTTATAAATCCATGAGGGAAAATACATTTCACTGCTATGAGACACTTCTGCATTAACGTTCTTTCTTGCCCCAGTGATTTCAAGAACCATCATTCCATAGCTATAAACATCAGACTTGTATGATACTCTTCCAAAATTTTTGCAAATCATTTCTGGAGCAATATATCCACAAGTTCCTCTAGCACCACCGGTGACTGAAACATTAGAATCTCTGGTTTCACATAATTTTGCAAGGCCAAAATCAGAGATCTTCGGACAAAAGTTCTCATCCAAGAGGATGTTGTGGGGTTTTATGTCAAAGTGCAAAATCCTTGTGTTACAACCTTTATGCAAGTATTCTAGTCCCTGAGCAATGCCTACTGCAATTTTATACAAGGTCTTAATGTCAAGCTGACGGTTTTTCTCTGGACATCCATGATTATAAACGAACTTATCCAGTGATCCATTCGGCATGTATTCATAAATCAAAGCTCTTTTCGACCTCTGGTAACAAAACCCCAGTAGAGTGACTACATTGACATGAGATGTTTTGCTAATGCTAGCAACTTCATTGATGAAATCCTGTCCATCCCCTTTGGATTCGTTAAGTACTTTTACGGCCACAATATGGCCATCAAGTAATGTCCCTTTGTATACACTGCCGTATCCTCCTTGACCCAATTTATTTGAGAACGAATTGGTGATTTTCTTGATGTCTGAATAAGAAAATTTCTTGGGGGCAAGAGAATTACCAAACTCAAGAAAGAATGCTTCAACCTGTTCATTTTTCTTCTTCCTATTCCTAATTTGGCCAGGGTTGAGAATCTTCAAAATTGATGATGAATTTTTTTTAGGCCAGAGGAAATACGCCATAAAAGAAATTGCTATGCCAGAAATGGCAATTACCCCTGCTGTTTTGTAGAGGTCAATGAAGATCCAGTCAACTAATTTAGAAATGGATATAAGATGCAGGCTCTAAAAAATGTTTCACAAATGAGGTTAATGTAGTACCTATGATTAACTTCCAATTAGATGACCTTATACCTGCAACAAAAGGAAAAGGAACAGTATTATCATCAGTTCTGTTTCGATGAAATGACATTTTATGGGGAGATTTTACATGGTGGAAGAATTTTAAAATCCTTTCTAGGTTACTGTTTTTGACAATAATTAGCAAAATAAATAAGCAGAAAAGAAGAAAAAAAGGAACGGTTAAATGCCAATTTTTTTTGGTCCTTAACTTATATTTTTTTACAATTTTCATCACTTTTTTTGTCCTTAGTTATGAAATATATATATATATATATATATTTTAGTCATTTTATCAATTAGCTTGCCAATGTGTACATCTTTAATCTTTAAAATTTTAAATTAAAAGATAAAAATTATACAAAATTTTAAAGTTGAAAGTCCAAAGATATACATATATAAATAGATTTAATGGATTAATTTATGAAAAAATAAAAAAAATTTTCATAATTAAAGAATAAAAAAATATAAAATTCTAAAATTAAGATATTAAAATTGATATTTAACTAAAAAAACCACATAAAAACCCCAACTGTCCTTTTTCTCTTGGCTGATTACGAAGACTTTTGTTTATCTGTACTTTGTAAAAATTAGAAACCTTCTTTCAGAGTATTTTATTTAAAAATAGAAATTTATAATTTTAATTATTTTATATATTTTTTTATTAATTTTAACTAATATTTTATATACCTTTTAAATAGTAAATGACCAAAAAACCCTATCATTACAGTACCGTATAATACTACAACACAACACCTGGCATACGAAGTTTAAAGCTAAACCGTGCTCTTTTCATCGCCTGCAAACAGTGTTGAAAAAAATGAGATAACATCCTTTCTCGTCCTCTTATCGATCCCACTAGTAAAGTATGCACCTGCCCTTGTGCCCAATTTTGAAGGTAAATTTATACTAATATAATATTAATTTAAACCCCTTTATTTCCTGAAATTTGTATTTATTTTAAAAAAAAATCTTACTAGTAAGTATCCCAATGGAGTATTTAAATTAAATTGAAAACTTTTTATTTTTACTTAAATATTTCTTCTTTCCTTGAACTTTAATAGATTTAATTTTTTATATGAGATGTTTAAATTTCATTGTTTATTTTTTTAAGATATTATTTAATGTTTTTATTTTTATTCTATTTTTATCTTAAAAGTTAATTATAATATCTATTAAATAAAAAAATCTTATTTAAATGATACTTAATTAAAGATAAATAAAAAATTTTATAAATAAATTATTCATCTCTTTTTTGTGCATAAAAAACTAAATTTATTAAAAATAAACAAAAGAGTAAAAAAATACTTTATTTATTACTAATTAATTTTAAATTGAATACAAATTTTGTATTAAAACTCATATATTTAATTTATAAATTTTACAAATTTAAAGTGACATGAAGGGTAATTTAGAAAAAGACTACACTTATTCTTAATCAATTTTAATTTAAATACAGCCTCTCCTGAAGCTTTCATACCTAATTTTTAAAAATTTAAAGTAAAAGGAAAGGTAATCTAAAAAAATGAGTGTTCTACATATTGTTCTCATAAATTTTTTTTTAGAATCTATCTAAAAGTTCATCTTCTAGTTAATATTTTTAAAAAACAATCATTAAATTGAAAATTTTATTTATATAAATTATGTATGTCAATTTTTAAATTGTTATAGTAAACTTAATTACTATATTGATTATATAAAATTTAATAACGTTAAATAAATATTAGGAAATAAAGTTTTTTTTTTCATTAAAAGATTATAAATATTAAATCAATATAAAAATTAATATGTATAATTTATATAAATAAAATTTTGAATTTAACTGTTAACTTAAAAAAAAAACTAAAAAATAAATCTTTAGATAAATTATTTTAAAAAAATTTTGAAAAAGAAAATCTCATCTACACTGTCTTCATTTGAAAAATGACAACCTATATTTCAGTTTTTAGGTGTAGCCTACTTATCATCCCATTAAAGACTAACGGACATAACATATTCCGTCAAGATTTAGGACTTTTGGTGGGTTATGAAAGTTAAGGGTACCGACCGGCCTGGGTTTTTTTTTTTGGGTAAAAATCCTGATTATTGTTTCGTGTAAATTGTTAAGGGAACTACTTTAATAATAATTTTATTAAGGGTTTTTATATCTTGTACTTTTTATAATTGATTTTATTAAAATATAAATTAAAAGTACAATAAATATATTTTTTATAATTAATTTACATAAAAAATAATAAAAATTGACTTGAATTTAATCAATCGTTTAATTAAAACTATTCACATAACAATAACACTAAAATAAAAGTTAATTTTTGTTATTTTTATGTAAATTAATTATAAAAATATATTTTTATTGTACATTTAAACTGTACCATAAGAATATAAATTAGATAAATTTTTTTATTATTTTATAATTTTTTAAATAATTAATTATGATATTTAAAAATATATACTTATAAATTAAATTAAATTTATTTAATGATAAATATTAATTATTTTATTAATTATTTTTAATAATTAAATTAAATTAAAATTTTAATAATTATTGATGACTTTAATAAATTCAACGATGACCACAAGGCCCATAACCATAACGGCGTTGACCATTCGCTAAGAATTGTAAGCGCGTTAACCATGGATAATAATGTTAATCATAAAGAGTGCAAATTGAGGTCAAAGGT